TTATGTACAAGGGAAAAAAAATCAGGCATAGAGAAATAAATCTCCAAAAATGTGAGTCTTCCATAATGATTTTCGTATCATCTAATAGTGAGCGCCATTCGTCCGAACTGAACCAATGAGGCTGATGATCACTCACTAGACCCTACAGTCTCTCCACCGGCGGAATAGACATTGACCCGGTCGTCAAATTGACCTCCTTGCAAAACCAAGAGCCAGATTCAGATGAATATTCCGGCGAGGGAAAAGATGTAAATGTCCAATCTGGGAAACCAAATGGACACCTAGGAGAGGTCGAGGCTTTATCTTCATCGTGTCTTTCTTTCAATGTAACAGTGTTATCAAAATCTTGATCATCAACGAAGGGATGATTTAAAAGCATTTCAGCCGTCCATCTTTTACTTGGGTCATTAGCAAAACATTTTCCAAGAAAATCTTTTCCTTTAGATGATAAATTTTCAGGCAACTCTGGCACCTCCCCACGAACGCCGATTCTCATCAGTAGCTCCACCACGCCGGAACACCTCCACGGCGAAACAATGTATTTCAGTCTCAATGGTTATTTCTCTAAATTATTCTCAATTTATAGACAATAATCGTAAATTAATCTCATTCCCTATCTCAAGTGTCGAATAGAATTTATTTCTATACTCTAATCTCAATATCTCTATTTCGAATTGGATCAATAAAAATTATTAAGCCCTTGGTTCTTAATTTGAATTAAGCCTCAAAGAATTTGTGATTTCTCTCTAGATCCACGAAATCTAAGTTATGTTATTCGTGGATCAAGATTAAATCTCCCTCTCTTGAGTGCCAAAATTCAATACATCAATTCATTCAACCATTGATCAGGTGATTGAAAGCAATAAGCATGTATAATACAAATAAATGTCGAAAAATTAAAGAAATATCATATTAACATCCAAACATTGTATCAAGTTAGGTTACATCAACCCTAGATCGAAGATTTTTGTTCATAATTGATGGAAATGATATTCTAAAATACAGATAAACAAGTATGGAGAAGAAGAGATTAGAAAAAACTCAGTTGATGCTTTGAATCTTCTCCTAATGATTGTAGATCTTCCTCCTTGAATTGCTTGATCTCTTGTTTTTGCTTTGAATTCTTTTTTCAATGCTAGAAAAAATCCCCTTTCTTGGTTTTTTTTCGTGGTATTTATCTTTTCCAAAAGTTACAAGATGAGAAGGATCGAATCTGGGTCAAGAAAAATGCACTTTCCTATTTTTGCGTTGGGCGTCGCAGCGCCCGGAATTGGCGTCGCGACGATTTAAAAAAAAAAAGGTTGAGCCCCAACCTTAAGGGCCCCTACTACCCCACCCCTAGAACTTTGTGAGGGAGGTAAATAGCGAGATGTGCCCCAGCAGGCCAGGGAACAAGAGCTGTCTGTACACTGCGCCTACAAAGAGTCCAATTTCATGTCTCAGGAATCGAATCCCCACAATGCGGCTGTCAGCAAGGCGTGAGATAACATCACTCATATCCTTTACACTACTGGGCTATGCCCTGAGGGGCGCGTCGCGACGATTTTCTTCCAACGCCACGGCTCCAGCCTTGCTGTTTTTTTTTCTTTTCTTTTTTTTATTTATGTTGGGCGTCGCGGTGCCCAGCTTTCTGTTGATTTTTTTCTTTTCTTGGGCGCCCAAGCACCCAATTCTTGCATCATGGCATCCTTGAAGCTGCCCTTTCTTGCTTTATTCAATTTCCACTCTTCGTTGCCATGTTCTTTTCCTTCGAATCTCTTCACTTCATACTCGAATTTCATGATCTTCATTACGACTCCATCTCAACTCCAAAACGTGGCATTTTCTTAAAAGTTGTCTAAACTACAAAACAACATGAAACTCCGCATCAAAACGTTCTAATGTGCTCAACAACAACCCGAAAAACTAAGATTTAAAGGTGCTAAATTTATGAGAGAATTGCACTCATCAATTATTTTATTATTTTTCTGTATTGAAACTTGAAACACCCTGAATGTATTTAATTATAGAGAGTGAGTTTGACTCTCCAAACATGGAGGTCCAAACTACTCTGTGAATCAAAATATTAATTTAAAGAGTTTTTTAAACATAATTTTAAGAATTGACTCTTTAAAATAGAGAGCGTCTTATATTTAAAGAATCTCTTGAAAACACTCATAGTAGTGGTGGAAGAGGAGGAAGGAGGGAAAAAATATTTTATTTTTATTTTTATTTTTTTAATAATATGTTTGGGGCTCATTTGAAATTTTTTAAAAATTTGGGACTATAGCTGTAATTAGTTCTTTATTTTTCTTTTTCTTTTCTTTTCATTTTATTTAAATAAGAGAGTATACTCATCATTTTACAATTTTTTAGTGAGAAATTAGAATAAAATGGATAAAAATGATGATTTTCGCAATAAACTGTAGAAATAGAGGGATATTTTGCACAATGAACTTCAAACATAAGGACGCTTTGTGCCAATTTGATTAGATTTAGACCATTAAATGATTTACTATAAGTGTTGAATAATTTGTCAAATATTTTGGTAGAAGTACTAGTTTTGCTATTTCTCAAAGATTATAGACAAAGCCTAACTACAAATTAGCTGGGAATAAGATGGACAAAAATTTGGGACCATTTACATCGATGTTCCACCAAATTACAATAAATGTTTAAGTTTAATTAGTTATTTTTTAAACTAACTAACCAATCAATTTAAAGAAAAATAAAATTATTACACAAGTGATATTTCGTTAAAATTTGAAGTGGCATTAGGTTCTTCGACCAGATAAAGATAAGAAACAAAGGAGTACATAGTCATATCGGATACGACTTCAATTATGAGGTGTCCAAGAGATAAATGTAGTTCGAGTAAGAAGCGTGTGGTTGAATTGTTTTTTATAGCCACATATATAACAAATTGCACACTAAAGCAAGATGCCAAGAACAACCAGAATTTGATTGAAAAAGCTTCTTTAACTTTATCCGTGAGTTTTCTTGGAATTGTACTCCCTCCGTCTCATTTATGTGAACTTACTTTCCTATTTTTTTTGTCCCACTTTTATAGTCATATTTATTTATTAAGATTTTTAATTTTTTTTGTTTACTAATATATCTTTATTCAATTTGCCTAATTATAACCAATTTTTCCACTTAATTTTGAAATTATACAAATATAAATAGGGGAAAACTAGGAAAGTTATTAGCAAAAATGACTTTTTCAATAACATTAAATAAGATTTCTTAATCAATGTGAAAAACAAAATAAGCCTAGTAAATGGGATGGAGGGAGAAAATCTTTAAATATACACGACTTTTTAACATTTAGTGAACGAAAATTGTCAAAATCATAGCATTTCAACTATTTATATGTTAGTATATGTTACCTACACATAGTGTTCTATATAACGTAATGTATGGATAGGCATAGAGCCCAAATTTCAAACTTTACGAGTCTAGATGTATAAAAAATATGTTCTCTTATTTTAAGTAATATGTTAAATTTTTAATCATTCTAAAAATCATTTAATAATTAAAATAGAACGTACCAAACATCTAAAATTATAAAATATTATATTATTTAATAATTCCTATAATTAGTAATTATATAATTTTAAAACTAAAGTCAAATACAAAGTTACTAAAAAAAATAAAAATATATATATTAATAAAGCGCAACTAGACGCGCATTAAGTAATAGCGGTTGACAGCTTACTTTCATGCTTATTGTCATGGAGCGTCGTTTCGCCCCAGCCCCCTAGACGCTGTCCAAGAGCACTTTTTACAACAGTGCCTACACACGTGAACTTGACTAATAGAGCAATTGAATTTATTTATTTATTTTTTGCTTATTTTTATTTATTCAGTAGTCTCAACAATCTTGAACATAATTAAAAATAAAACGATATAAAAATTGAATAATACTATTCATAGAATTAGACGATGCTCATCAATCAATGATAATGTGATATTTAGATGATTTTAATTGATTTATTATTTTTAATGTAGAACTTAAGATAACAAATCAACTAAAGCCATCAAAATATCACATCACTTCTTATTAGTAAGCACCGCTTATAAATAGCAATAGTCATATATACCACTTGACAGAAAGTGGTTTCTTTCTTCTTCTTTTAATTTTTTATTTATTTATTTATTTATTATTATTTTTAATGAGGTATAAATAGAAATGTGTATTTATTTGTTACGAAATCAATTATAGATAATCGCAATTACTTCCTTGAAAACTTATTCTCTTCTTGTCTTTAGGTAATAAAGCAAGATAATGTGTGCCTAAATCATTTATTTAAGATGACTTTACATGCTAGTGGATTGCAAGTGGATTACTGCTAATTTAATAAGATTGCAAGTGGACCATGACTAAATAAAGAGTGATGGTAAGGGATGACATTGGAATTGACACAACACACACAGAGAGTCGATATTTTTTTATTCACATGGGATCCACACACCCCATATGAGGGTGCGACCATCCTCGCGATCACCAGCACGACTCAAGCAGCTTAACCCCTAAATAAAATAGTCAAGTTTTTTACTAATTTCTTACGTTCACGAATCCTTAAAAGGTTTGATATCATCACAATACATGAGATCAAATAATGGGAACAGATTATTATATTAATCCACAGTCTAATGACACGATTATCGTCAATTTATTCTTACTTATCATTAACTCAGATAATACGACTTATCGAGATCTCATAATTTCATGAACGGAAATCCCTGTATTAAAATGTAAAATGGATTTGACTATACAATTATTATTTACTCTTCATTGGCATTTTTTAGTTATGGATTCAATGAATGTCAGAAGTATCAAGAGACTAAATAAATCACATGGAAATGGACAATTAGGCAGAATTTCAAGACCGTTGCCTGAAACATCGAGCACAACAGCAAATCTCAATTTTGGAGCAAAATTTGTATCGTTAAATGTTATCATTTCTCTAAACTAAATGGCTCAATGAAAGTTAGATCGACTATACCGTTAGACAGTATTAAAATGAATAAAAAGTTAAAATTTTATTTACAATTGTTCGATAATATTAACATGGAGTAATACTTTATCAATTTTATGTACAAGGAAAAAAAATCAGGCCTAGAGAAATAAATCTCCAAAAATGTGAGTCTTCTATAATAATTTTCGTTTCATCTAACACTGAGCCATTCGTCCGAACTTAACCAATGAGGCTGATGATTGCTCGCTAGTCCCTGTAGCCTCTCCACCGGCGGAGTGGACATTGACCCGGTCATCAAAATGACCTCTTTGCAAAACCAAGAGCCAGATTCCGATGAATATTCCGGGGAGGGCAAAGATGTAATTGTCCAATCTGGGAAATCAAATGGACACCTAGGAGAGGTCGAGGCATTATCTTCATCATGTCTTTCTTTCAATGTAACAGTGTCATCGAAATCTTGATCATCAACGAAGGGATGATTTAAAAGCATTTCAGCCGTCCATCGTTTACTCGGGTCATTAGCAAAACATTTTCCAAGAAAATCTTTTCCTTTTGATGATAAATTTTCAGGCACCTCCGGCACCTCCCCACGAACGCCGATTCTCATCAGTAGGTCCGCCACGCCGGAACACCTCCAAGGCGAAGCTCCGCCGACCATCTCTGCCACCACACACCCAAGTGCCCATATGTCCGCCGGAGGACCCTGCTCGTTTCTGGTGGCCATCTCCGGTGACATATACAGCGGTGTACCCCTCAATTCACACCCAAAATCACCCACTTTTTCCCTTTCAGCTCTCTTCGCCAAGCCAAAATCCGCAATTTTTACGCCCCCGTTTGGGCCCAAAAGAATGTTCTGAAGCTTAATATCACAATGAACATAACCAAACTTGTGAATATAATTAAGCCCTTTAAGTAAAGCCTTCGTATACCGTCGGACTTCACTCTCCGGCAGCCCATTATCCGGGCAATTCTTCACCTTATCTGCCAAAGCACCGCCGGAAGCATACTCTAACAATATATTATACAATTTCTCACCGTTTTCATCAGTAAAATTTTCCCCAAAGCAACGAATGATCTCCGGGCAATCTTTAAGCTCATCAAGTATCAATTTCTCGTTCATAAGCGAATCAGAAAGTGACACGCCACAAGATTTCACGGCCATCACTGGTGGAATTTGACAGTTCCGGCTTCTGGGTATAGCTATATTCACCATTCCAAAGCTTCCATTTCCCAATTTTTCACCACGAACCCAGTCCATTGCAGACTAATACAAGAATACCCAATTTTTCGGATTATAGGTTGTTCTCAACTTTTCTTGAAGAGAGAAAATACAAAAAACAGAGTTCGAGAACTAATTGAATTGAATAACATTTGAGAGTTCTGCAATGAATTTATATACACGACGACTTGGGGATTTATTAATTGTTTGTGAAAGTGACCCAACAACATGTGTATATTGATTTGTTAGAATAAATAAAAAAGCACGTGATAATGAAGGATATTTCGCGCTGAATTCGCATGGCTGAATGGCGTACTCCAGTTTTGAACGTGTCTGATATGGTTGGAGAAATTATTGAGGATCTTTTTGTTTTAACAATGACCACGCAATTCCACTTATTTATTTAAAATTTTTATTTAAGTGTTGATCGACTCAAGAGTTTAACAAGAGATACTAGTTGGTTTTTTGTCCTATCAGCATGCGTCATTTGCCGAATAAGCCTTCACTATATATTTAATATTGAATAATGGATAAAATTTCGTCTTTAATCGATAAGACAAACGATGTTATCAACAAAATTAGCTACTATAAACGAGATTTAACATGTTTGATATTAAGTACCCATTTGATTCTCATTCTCTAAAAAATCCCTTTTTTTTTTTCTCAAAATACGATATAACACCAAAATAGACTAGTTTTGTCCTTCATTAGTACTTGTATGTGTAATCCCACCTTACAAAATGTGAAGAAAAAACTTTATTCCAAGAAACACTCATCTAAGTTAATTTAAATTGCATATTTTTATTTATTTGTTGTTGTTGATTTACTAAATTTTCCTTATTTCCAATCCATGATCGTGCAACTCTCAATTTCGACAACATATTTAGGAAGTGTTTATAAACTATTTTAATTACAAATGAATAGAAATAAGTGATGAATGTTAATGTGACTTGCAGATCTATTGAAAGTATTGATAGAAGAATAGTTTAAGTCCCTGTTTGATGAGAATTAAAATCAGATTTTTAGTAAATTTTAACAAAAGTTGTTAAAATGTGTAATTAAAAATTTATGGGTCTCATAAAATGTGTGGTCAAAATTAATTATTAATTTTGACTTAAATCAAAATTTTAATTTTAGTTTGTAATAAACAAGTTTTAAGTATTTACAAACATATAATCCGAATTCTAAAGTGTAGATTTGTATCAAATCGAGACTCCAATTGGATTTGTGTACAAGTTGCGTCTGCTAAAGCTTGATGAAACGTCCTTTTTATCCATTGCTTGTTGTTTCGTGATGGTTACAAGTTTCAACCTATCGGCAAAGCTACAATTCAAATAAAATAATAAAATCTCATAATTTAAATTTAATTATTATTGATGGAGAAAAGGTACATTAAGTAATTACTAGAAGAGAACTAATTGAATATGATAATTGACAAATTTAATCGTATGTATTTATATCTTCAACCGTATCTAATGTGTCTATTTTAATGAATCAAATACGTTTTCAAGAAAGTAAACTAACAAAATATTTTAGCCTTTTGATATTAATCACTAGTCTTTAAAGAATCTTAAATGCTATCCATCTATCTTTTGAAATAACTTTTGGTATAAATCAAGTTGAAACAATTGATTGACTTTCACAAGTTTTAATTGTTACAAAGTTAACAATTATAAGTTAAATATTTAGTAGGTTTGAAATTTAATTGAAGAAAGGTTGACTTTGAACAAATTGGGAGAGAGTCAAGTCATGTACAATTTGAAGTATGCAAGTGGGTGGAACGTTCGAACCCTTATATAAAATCGACCAAGTTAATGTTTCTTTCTTTAATTTACTGACTTAGAAAAAAAAATCAAAAT